AGTTCTTTATTGCAAAAACATTTTAGGAGAAAGTGGGTATACAGTCGTCTTGTACTGTTTTTCATTAATGTATTACTTTTTTCTTTTTTACCTGTTTTAAAAAAAATACAGGTTGTCTAGTTGTAAAAGAGGGACAGGATAATGGCATTTGGATCACAAGAGATGGATGTGAAATGACAGGAGGAGGACCCTTCCTCTTCTCCAAAAAAGTGCCAGGTGCAGTGTGCAGGATGACTGGGTTGACATTACGTGTTTACTTAGCGTTATATTACCGTTGAAGAACAAAGTATTGTAGTTTAGCCTGGCCACTGCCTTCCAGACCAATTCCACTCGATTCTAATCTTGACAGCTCAGTCTGGGCTTTCTCCCATTGAGTTGGATTGGCTGACTTTCGCCAATCAGCGAACAGAAGAGTTGTGAACGATGACGTCAAATTTTCTGCGCCGTTATAGGCTTATAGCTTGCTTGTAGTTTTAGCAATGGCAGCGGAGGAAGTGAACGAAGCCATTCAGCTGCTAGATGATCGCTGCAGCTCTAGATATTGAATTAACATCAACAGACATCTTGTTCAACTTTGCACAAAAAGCTTAATTTCAAAAGGTCTCTAAAAGGTCTAAATAGCTATGGATGTTGTTTTTTTGCTTTGGTTTTTATAAGTTGCTTTCTAAATAAACTTCAGTTAAATGAGTTTTATTATAAATGTGATTAAAAACAAACATGGTAATTTATTTTGTTCTAAACAGCATTTCCACATCAACTGAAGGTAACAGTTGTAGTATTGTTTGACTTCCCATTTTAAGGGTGGTATTAGATAATTTAATGCAGTTTAATGTAGTTGACCTATTTGGAAAATTTAGGGATTTCCGGTGTTATTGGAGACTTTCATGAAAGTAGATTGTTGATGTAAACAACACAAGCAAAAAATAACAATGAAAGAAGAAAAATATTTTCCCATCCTAAACATGTGGATGGTTGGAAACCTTTGAACTTACCAGTCAGGATTCCAGCTTCAGAAAACTTTTTTTTTGGGGGGGGGGAGATTTCCGATTGGCACCTTGGCAAATCCAACATCCGAGCACAAAAGCAGCACACCGTTTGAAGCTCTGCCAACTTTAATAGTTTTGACACAACCTGCCTTTTATACTCACAATGATTGTTTTGCATTTCTAGTCACTTATTAAACACAAGTGTGGTTTTTAAACATATCTAGCTCTGAATATGCTGTGCCACTAGGATTTTTTGAAACACATTTTACGCCTTATTTAACAATCCGTCCCAGATCAGTGGTTTAAATTTTGAGTTATTTCCCGGGCAAAACCCCTGAACCTGATTAGGATTCAGCCATGCAGATCCTGAATAGGACCGCTAAGAAAATGCATTGTCCGGGTTCTTTCAGTGTCGCCCCGCAACATGCATTACGATGAGCTCGTCAGTGTGAACGGAGCGCTGTGGTAGAGGTTGTTTATGTGGAGTGCTTGGTTAGGGTTCCGCCCACCGAGGTATCTGATCATAGGGGCAGACAGGCAGAGAGGTAAAATGGCGCACAGCTGTCGGTGGCGGTTCCCTGCTCGGCCCGGAGGGAGCAGCAACTCCGGTACCGGGAGGAGAGCGGGCCGTATCAGGGTTACTGCCTTTTTGCGGAGCGTATCGGGAGCCCAGCCAAACGCCGCTGGACTCGGACCCGGGTTTGACGCTGCACTACAGGTTTCTTCGGTTATCAGGAGCAACCTGCAGAAATTTCGGGATGTTTTGGGGGAATCGAGCGACTCTAGCAGCGCAGAGGTAAGCCCGGGACTCAGCCGGGAGCATCGGGTTAGACAGCTCCGAGACACCCGGGCCGGTTGGCGGACCGCTTGGTCCCTCCGAGGAGAGGAGCTAACGGTTACAGCCCCCAAAACTTGTCATTGGAAGGATGCTCGGTTAACTTTGACTGAGCTGCGTGGCCTTTAACTATACTGTAACGTACTGCAGCTGCAAGTTTAGTTAGAAAAAGCACAGGTAGTAAGTTTTTTTTTGTATAGCTCAACCATTTAAGATGAAGGAAAGTTTCTTCTCGGAGGAGAAGAGATGCTACATCCACACAGTTTAGATGGAGCTAACATTACTCTGTTAGCCAAACCACAGCAGAGAAACCCCCGGTGTTGCACTGTTAATTACATCCTAGAGTCCCGTTAACATACGGAACAAATGCAAGTCAATAGGCACCTTACACCTATTTCAGTACTTATGGTTTACTAATTAGATAACTTAAATTGATATAGAGCCGCCAGAGCTCTATATGTTCTCCTGAAAATTCATTCTCACTCACAATGTAAAAGTTGACGTCCCATGTAAGCATTGGTGTTACTGGCCTACTGTTAACTAGCATTTAAACACCCAAATTTAGCGTGTCTGTCTTTGAAGTAAGCATGTAATGCGTAGAAAAAATAACTTAAAGGAAGCGAGAGAGTACAGTTGTGGTTTATGATGAGCTAACGTGAAGTTAGCTGTGTGCAGCGTATTTCTGCACTGGTTGTTCACTTCTCGCTTAACCCGTGTTTAGCTTTCTAGGAGTAAATCATTGGCAGCTAAATAGCCCCGTAGTATCAAAATAAGCTAAAAGGGCTAACTCATTGCATCGAGGTGGTAACCTTTTAGCGACGTTCGCCTGGTTAGCTCGCATGCTAGCTGTTTGTATACCTTAGCCCAAAGTACACCATTATTCTTCTGTCGGAAACGCTGGTGAAGTTGAGTTTTGTACTCAGGAGGTTGCTGTGTTTACCTCCGAATGGTTCATCGCTACGCAGTCGAGTGGAAGCATAGGGGCTAAAGTTAGCAAGGCTCACACACAAATGTAAATGGTTTCTGTTTGGTGATAAGCTAAGACAGCTACCATGCTACGCTGTACGCCACGCTAGCCATCAGGGCTATTGCTGATGCATAGGAAAATGGGAGGTGGACATGTTTTCCCCCTCTCCTTACAGTCAGTACGTAGCTAATACAAACATAATATCTGGCTTATTACACGAGGCGAGGACGCCCGATTTCACGCTGCACAATGAATATAGCACTGCTCGGTGTATAACGGGAGCATATGGGCATGTTTTGCGGGCAGGTTTATCAGCGGAAAGAGGCTTGCTGGTGACAGTGCGCATGTAGGGCTGGCTACAATAACAACGAGCCCCTTCCAGACGGACCGTGTGATGTGGGGGTGTGTTCGCGTTAGCGAACTACCATCTTCCTCCTTCATGATGTGCAGCATGCGTTCATTGCAGTGGGAGTAGACTGAGTGGGGATGTTTACCAGCAGGTTAGGAGCTCATGTTCAGAGCTCTGTTCTAACACCTTTTTGACCAAAACACGTCAGTATTTATATATAATAAGTTAGAGGATGTGAGGGGCGGTTTTGAGAAGGAAATTGTGAATTTATTTTTTACGTGTTTGATACGTATTTATTCATTTTTTTAATGTTATTATATGTAAACCTAAGTAAAATGCACAATTTAATGCTAAATCTAGTGTGTACATTTTAAATGCGTATTAGGCAAATTGTTAATTGATACTGCAAGTTGTTTTTAATTTAAGTACTTTTTGCAGTGCAGCCTTTGCTAAGAGCTGGGTAGATGCGATATTTGGTTGGGTGGTAGTTCCAGTGGTCATGCGTTGATTCTCTTCATAGTGAGTCTTCCAGGACTGGTTAGCAGGTTCAGCAGCCAACCTGCTGCATAACGGGTACACACTGCTTGTAGCTTGCACACTGTATTAATTAAACTGTGGTTCCTTAATAAGAGTGATGGGCAACATGAGTCCTTGTTTTTCCTAGCTGTATCTATTTTGTTTTTCTTGTACAGTAGGTGAGGGAAAAGTATAGAAACCTTAGTTTAGCCAGGTGCCTAGCAGTGCAGGACTACTCTCTGCCTGAGAGACCTCTCATCATTCTGGTACTTTTTGTGGCACACAATTAAACAGCAATTTAAACTGCAGAGACTTTAGTAAACTGAATTCATAACTTTTTAAAAATGCTTTTTTTATACCACTAACCAGTCCATGTATTCAATGAACTATGTTGAAGTGAGGGAGTTTACAGGTATTATCAGTAATAATTAATTGCCTGCAACAGAAAGATATTACAGTAAGCTTGAACAGAAATTGGTACGTCCTCAAAGTGGTGAGAACGTAACAGGTGGACACCTGTTCCGGCAATTTAAAACTGCCTAACCTGTAAATATTCATATTTATTGGATGCAGCGTTACAGACAGTTTAGTTAAGTTCAGCTCTGCTTTCTAAGCTGAGAGCGTCTGTTTCATTGTGCTGACAAAGCTGGCCAATGTGACGTTGGCATCTGAGAAAACGGCGACAAACTTGCCTGTATTTTGTTTTGCTACAGCTAGTATTGCATTGTATTCAGCAGATGTGAAAGCTTTTAGAGTGAGTAGCTTTAAATAGCTAAAATCAGTGAAGGCTGTGCTCTGTCCATGGTACCACTCTGGCGATTTCCTCAATGTGCTACACTTTCACTGCTGTGTGTCAAGTTTCTACTGCTGCTACAAGGAACTGTTACAGATAATACTTTCACAAAACTTTAGCTCAAAGAAATCCAAACTTCCCCTTTAACACTGAAAATGGTGGATTATAGGATGGATAGACCATTGAGTTTTTATTGAGCATAAAGTGTGCAATATCAGATTTTATTGATTTACATTTTTAAGTTTTTGTCAGCTAGAAGAAAAAATCTTTGTATCATGCTACTTTAGTGTTTGGCGACTCTTTAAGAGATAATCAGATCTTCTGAGATCTACTGCAATACACTATCAATGGAAGATTATAAATAATTTGGAGCAATCTAGACTATTATGTCACACATTACACTGTTTAGAGATTCTGGAGTATTGGTGCATTTCTTCTATTTTACTCGCACTTTAAGCAGCACTATATTATTGGCTTGCTTTGATTTATTTATTTATTTATTTTTATACAACATAAAACCCGTATAAGGAGATGTTTCTTTATAATAAGAGCCACTCTCGCATTTAACACAATTTTAATGTGTGGGCACAGATTAGTCTATTAAATCCTCATCAAGTTTGGGTAACGTAGCATGGTGACTTCATCAGTAGTAAAAAGAAGCAGTGTGAAGCGCTTGTCTGGCCAGACCGAGGCAGGGTTGTCCAGGCTCACTGCAAGACACTGAGCTCATGGGGCAACCCCGAACAGAGCGCCAGCCGGACACTCGGTCAGCCCGCCCGCCTCCTTCCAGGCAGAAAAAAAAAAAAATCCAAATCCACTTCAGACACACACATCCCCGTCTGAGAGGCAGAGCAACTTTTCTTCTGACAGCTGCCACTTGGGAATGGATTACTAAGCCTATTTAAGTGTCTCTAAAGGGTGCCCTTTAGTTGCTGCTGTCCAAATGACGGCATTTATTTGCCCTCCTGTGCATGGAGGGATTTTATGGCATTAAAGTGAGCAAATTGTAAATAGTTCTTCTTTGTTTTTTTGCGATCTCATCTGTTGTTGTAGATGAGATCATCCCCAGTTTTTTCCGTGTCTCCAAGCAAAGTTCGTCTCGGTTCTTCTTTGTCCGGGTCCTTTGTTATCTCACCTTCTGCTGCGTCTTTTCTCCTCGCACGTTGTTATTATTAAAGTTTAATGATTCATACAGAAAGGCTGTTGAATGGATGTATCCACCTAAATATCTCTTTGCCTCAGCGGTTCGAGAGAAATGGTGTGGTTGAGCGGAAGGGGCTTCGGTCCGGCAGGTGTTTGGCCTATTTAAATGGAAGACCCCCACACCCGATTACCCATTCCCAAGACGGCGTGTGGATTGGAGCAGGAAGCCTTGTGTCTGCTTTCATTCCAGTTCTCACAAAGTGCGTCGGCTGAAAGAGTGCAGGCAGGGATATCAAAGGGTGCTGGGCGACCCCCAGCCTCCCCATCCCGACGGGACAACGCTGGGTGGGGGAATTAGTCCCAGGCCCTCCCATCCACGGCTTTATTCTGCTACAGCAGGCGGGCAAGGGGCTTTCACCTCTGCTTTTGGAGTTGCCTGACTGGGAGAAAGGCGGCAATTGTGTCGTCTTTCCCTCCCTTTGTGTTGCCGGCGGTTGGGGTAGGGGTGTCCCTCGGACTTTGTCCCCGTCTCTGATTGCAATCAGGAGTGGGCGTGTCGTCTTTGTCTTTATTTTGATTAAAACTCGAGTTTATGCTGCCCGCTTGGTTTAGGAGGAGTGGATACGCACCGTCTGCGTCTGCCAGCCTTTGTGAACGTTGCTGTGTTGGGAAACAGTTCAACACGCCGCCTGTCAGTCCATTTGTCTTTGTCCACCAACTGTCCTCCTCGTCCTACGGTTCACGCATGAGGAGATGAGGTGTCCCACCGCGGGGTGTGCTGAAGGGCAAATGTGAAGCAGTTGTATTTGGTGTTTGAACACTTGCAAAAAAAAAAAAGAAGCAAATGTTCACCTTTTGCTTGGGTCTGATGGGGCACTCGTCCCGGTGTGAGTCGCTTCTGTGGCATTTTTCCTGCTAGATGTGTCATCAAAAAGACATACAAAAACAATGAGATAATCACCCATTTACCGTATAGAACAAGATGACTAATGGTGATTTTACCCTGCTTCCTCGAGGGGAAACTTCCAGGAATTTGTTATAATTGGACACTGCACCAGTCAGAGATTTTTGTGGACAAATTCTGGGGTTGTCTCGCTGATACAAATTTCTTTTTAAGAACAAGCATGTTCTTCTTTTTTTTCTTTTGGTCTGTGGAAGAGTGGAAAACTGACAACTGAAATGTGCATACTATAAAAGAAACCCTAACATTTTCTGAAAAATAACCCACAGTTGCAGATCTTTCTTTTGCCGTGTCACTCAGCATCAACAGATACAGTAACAGTCTCGAGATTATGCGACAGAAGTATTTACATATGAGTAAAGTTTAAGACATTGGTTCTATTTAGCAGCATCAAGGTAAACCAAGACTTTAAAGAGTTATAACCTTGTATGAATGAATCAAAAAGGAAGCAATTTTATTTTGAAGAGCTGGAAGAGTCTTAATATTTACAGAACTTTACCAAGTGAGTTCAATTTACATTTATTTTGTTCTGAACACGACCAAAAGTCAATAACATAAATCTCAGCTAGAGACGCATCAATGAGGCTGTTTTTTTTATGATACAGCAAACAAAAACAAATTGGTCTGAAGTATTCGCTTCTCAAAATACACAAATTCCCCCTGACAAATAAATTAAGCACATAGTTCAACAGACTGGTGGCTGACTTCCTGTAACACTTGCTCCATGGTGCCGATAAATATCAGCACTTCATGTCTTCTTTAACTCAATTTACTGACATGCACTGTTGAGAAGGTTTAAATCATTCTTACTTTGCATAACATTACTGTGACGAAAAGTCATTTGCATACACTGCAGTAACTCAAAGGGGACAAAAATGAATAATTTACTCAAATGATTTACTCTCACTGGTTTACTTTCAACCCCGATTGCACCAGACATGGATCATGCTTGAGACTTTGGTTCCAGGTTTCGAGTCGAAGTAAAATCTGAAATTGCGGATTTTGTGGCTTCAGGGTTCAACGTCAAAGACCCGAGTCCTCATTTTTGACACAAACACTGCAGCTTCCCAGATGCAGCTGCAGCTTTCTGTCTGTTATAGAACAAAATGCATCTCTCAATGTGATATAATTCGCAGTTCAACTGTTGTAATTCTCCATCATTTTGTCATTCGCTGGCAAAGGATGCCTTTTTTTGGATTTAAACCAATTCTGCACCAAACAGTTAATAAAAAACTAAACTAACAGGTGACAACCTGTTGTGAAACTGTCACAGCTGTGTTTGTTGGCTGCATAAGATGTGGTTTGTGCTTCCGATCACAAATCCGTGCTGTGGTGGTTTTATCAACTGCACAGTAAGGCAGACGATTGTCGCTGGTGTTCTCTAAAGAGACTGCATAAAGTTTGCACGTTGCATGGACCGGCTTCTGAATTTCTGCTAAAGGGTGCTGCGTGTGTGTGGGATGGCAATGCCTAACAAGTTCAGATCTGCATACGGACTTTATCTGCATCAGTTTGATTTCTCAAAAGGCTATAAAAGTCCAGCCTGCCTCTCGGCATGTAAAAGCGGCATCAAAACGATACAGAGAAGCGTACCTCAAACCGAATTCCCAGCCGCCTCACAGGTGTCGGGGGCAGTCCCAAACATCCCCTGAAAGCAACAGTTTCGCTCCAACTATGAATCAGCTTGGTGCTCTTTTCTCCACCTATTAGTGATTTCTGTCAAGTAATGTGCGCAGCAGTCGGGCAGAGGAGATGTGGCAGATCAGCAGGAAGTAAAACTGCTGAAGGCTTCAAGGCGAGAGCGTGCAACAATGCAAACCGCTCTTCATTTCAAGAGGGTTAAGTGGAGAGAAGGGAAGTTCTGTCTCCGCTGTTGCCCCGTTGCAGCGTTGCGAGGCACAGCGGCGCATGAACGTGACCTCACTAATCTACTAGCGTATTTGTTTACTTCTTGAAGTTGGCCGCCGTGCTGTCGAGCTCACGGCGAGCCTTGTGTTTCGCACGCCGCCGTTTCTCTGTGCTCGGCAGTCAGTAGGCGCAAAGCGAGAGCTCGGCGGAATATGTGTTTTGGGAGGAGACGGGGAGCCTTGTTGTACGTGGGAGGCCTGTTTGGTTTGGGATCTGTCGAGCTTCTGCACGGGCATGCTGAAATCCTGAAGCCTTTTCATCTAGGGCTCCCAGGGGAGTGCTGCGTTTCCACTGTTGTTGGTGGTCAAGATGCTGTTTCCTTGTTTCTCTTTTCCTTTTTTTTCTCCCCCCCCACCTCTCCTCTCTCTCTCTCTCTCTCCATCCTCCTACATCCATTCTCTGGTCCTCACTCTGGTGTGCATGCTCTCCCCTCCCCCGCATCCTCACTCATATGTTGTGCTTGTTTACATCTCGATTTGCAATTTATGCACAGGGTGCTTGTACTTCTTTATTCATTATTTTTTATTTATTTATTTATTTACTCGCGTAAATATTAAAACGATAACCGATAGAATCACGAAGTTCACACAGAGAATTCATGCGCACTCGCAATGCATCGGAGCGTTCGGCTTTAACGTCTTGCCACCCAAATAAGGATGTTGTGATGTCAGCTACTCGCTGCATCCTCAGCGAGTCATAGCCTTCCTTTGGTACTCCGCCCCCCCTTCGGCTCTGCAAAATCACCAGCGAGGAGCAGCAGCTTGCTCGGAGAGAGGAGAGGATGCTGGCATTAAAGCAAGACGGAGGATAAAGAGAGAGAAGTGTAAATAGAAGAAGATGAAGATGCTCGAATGCGCTATGAGGAGCGTCAGATGCTCAGATTACCGTTCCTTGCCAGGGTAAACAGCAGTATTTACTGTCCGTTATGACAGTTTACATGTCGAACAGACGAAAGACAGTTTTGCAGCGCACATTATAGCTTTCTATATTGATGCACTGCTGCGAAGTGCATCAGTTTTTTTTTTTTTAATGGTATCTGCTTTTTTGGCAAGGTGATGTAACTCCTAGGTGGTGCAGAGTCAGTCTGAATGTCTGCACACACTTGGAGAGCAGCTGCTCTCCAAACTGGGCCAACAAGACCTCAACTGCATCTCCACACGCCTCTATAAATAAACATGATAAAATGACACACTCACCTCCACTCCTGAGCATATCCAGTGTGAGGATCCTAGAGATGCTGATTGTCCCTGGTGATTTCACAAACCCACATCTCAAGGCTCTCTTGAAGCAGGAGCGAAAGAATTAATGTTCACTCCATTCATTTTTTATTTCTAATGATGTATGACAGGTCTTGATTCCAAAGAGAGGAAAATGGTGACAAAATATATACTGCTCAAAAAAATAAAGGGAACATTTCACTTTAATTTTGTGTGTGGCTCCAAATCCAGGCCTCCATTGGTTAATAAATTTGATTTCCATTGATGATTTTTGTGTGATTTTGTGGTCAGCCCATTCAACTTTGTACAGAACAAAGTATCCAATGAGAATATTTCATTCATTCAGATCTAGGATGTGTTATTTGAGTGTTCCCTTTATTTTTTTTGAGCAGTGTACATATTAATATTAAGCATATCTTTGCACATCTTTGCAGAAAATGATGCATGCATGTAAATTTTTTTAAAATCTTTTATAGGATGAAGCATTTGCGGGATTTGGAGCGACCGATGAACAAACAGAAATACGAAGCCCTTCATCAACTTCTTCAGGTACTAATTAGTAAAAAATTAAAACGGGGTCCAGAATTTGGTTCAGGCATTTTCCAGTTCTTGATCCTTTATGGAAAAGGAAAATGGGACTAGATTTTATTCCTGTTGTCAAAAGGCTTCAACCATCTGTCTACACCAGTTTTAATGACGTTTACTAAATGCCCTCTGTGTTTTCTGATGTGTTCAGAAGGAGTACCCCTGCAGGAGAAGAAGCCCAGAGGCCGCCCACCACGGACCCTGACTGCTCAAAAAGCTGCTGCCAGTCTACCATCCCCTTTGTCATATCCTTCTCCGACGCAAGCGAAACCTGACGGCCCTGAAAGGCCAGCAGAGAAAGTGAAAAGGCTACCCGGGAGGCCACCTGGCACTGGTGAGAAGCGAAGGGGCCGTCCGCCTTCTTCAAGCAGTAAGAAAACTTGGAGTACGGGCAACCATGCAGCTGCTGAGGACAGTAGGCAGGCTGGATTTGAGCTGGGCACAGATACGGAGGATGAGAAGGACACAAAGGGCAACAAGAGGTTGCCGGGGGTCTCCGCACAGCCTCATGACACTGAGGCAAAGCTTTCTAAAGGAGGCCGGGCTGAATCCAAAGCTACCAACCTGAAGAGGCTGACGGAGACGAAAACCGCCCCACTCAAATCACGCCTCAAGATTTTGCCCGGTGCACCCCGACGCAGACGTGGGCGACCACCGTCAGCTGAGCGGCTCAAAGCTGAAGCAGCAGCTGCAGCCCAGCTGTCTGCTTCGATGGAAGGTGGGGAAGGAAAACACAAGGCCTTCAGGGTCAGAGGTGGAGACAGAGGCACAGAACCACACAGCACAGAGGAGCCCAACATAAGGAACATGGACGGCGCTCAAGACCAGGACTCTTCTAGTCTACCCAGCTCCCCAACTGCATCTAAACCAGGAAGGCCAGTAGGGCTCAGGAAGAGCCCCCGGCACAGGAAACCCGTTCGAATAGTCCCTCCTTCCAAACGTACCGACGCAACCATCGCCAAGCAGCTGCTGCAGCGTGCTAAGAAAGGAGCACAGAAGCGACTGGAGAAAGAAGCCGTCGGCATTGGGGGCAGAGGGTCGGGAGCCAGTGAGGCTGGCATCAGAAAAACCCAACTCAAAAACATCCGGCAGTTCATCATGCCAGTTGTCAGCACCGTTTCCCTTCGCATCATCAAAACTCCCAAGCGCTTCATCCAAGACGAGGGCAGTTTTGGAACTCCGGCGTCCCATGCAAAGATAGCGCGATTAGAAACGCCACCTTCCACTGTCGCTGTGTCTGCCCAACCTACGGCCACCACTTCCTCGTCCCCGTCTCCCGCACTTGTCTCCGTTACCTCCGCTGCTACTTGTAGTGGGGCGGCCGCTCCTGTGGAATCGCTCCCTCCTCCGTCTTCTCCTGCCCCCGTCCCCACCGCCCCGCCGACAGCTTCCGGTCTGCTTAACAGCAGCACAAACGCTGCAGCCAATGGGAGATTTAGCCATAGTGCACAATCTTGTGGTTCGAGTGCTGTATCGCAGCATTCCTCGCAGCTCTCTTCTGCGGAGTCTTCCAGGTCCAGCAGCCCGAGCTTGGATGACTCCTCATCTGACTCTCAGGCTTCTGAGGGCACACAGGCTCTTTCCGAGCCAGAGGATCACTCTCCCTCTTCACAGGGAGAAAGGGAGGCCAATCTCTTAAGCAACTCGAGGCCCACCTCACCTCCTTCTGAGCCAGAGCATGTGCTGGCAGAGGGAAGTCGGCGGGGTCGGAGAGCACAGGGGACTGGGCAGGGAAGTCAGAAACAGAGGGCGAGAGAGAGCGGCACCACAGGGGTTAAAAAGCCCATCATCAGCCCACCAACAGGAGTACTGATGCCCTCTTCTTCACTTGGAAATTCCCAGCAGGTTTCATCCACAGCTTCTTCCCCGTCCTCACCTCCACCACCCCCTCTCCTCACTGCTCCGCAGCCTCCCCTGTCTGGTTCCTCCAACACGGCCGCTATCAGTGATCACCACTCTCAGACATCCTGGGTGCCCATCCAGACATTTATGCCACCGGGGCTGTCCAACTTGTCAGACAAAAGGAATCGCTCAATTCTGAGGGAGCCCACCTTCCGCTGGACGTCGCTGTCCCATCCCAAGCAGCAGTACTTTTCCTCTGCTAAATATGCCAAGGAGGGCCTCATTCGAAAGCCTATATTTGACAATTTTCGTCCTCCGCCTCTTACGCTTGAAGATGTGGGATTGCTGCCCCAAGGTGTCGCAGGAGCAGGGGGAGCTGCTTCAGCTGCGTATTCAGCACCAGGCACCGGAGCAGGAACGGGGAGCCGCCTGTTTGCTCCCCTTCACCAACACACTCACCACCAACACCCCCCGTCGTCCCGCTTTGATTCGCCTCTCCAGAAGCGCTCGTTGCTCCGTGCACCACGCTTCACACCCAGCGAGGCCCACTCTCGAATCTTTGAGTCTGTCACCTTGCAGTCTTCTTCGGGGAGCAGCCCCGGCTCTCTCTCCCCTCACCAGACGCCTCCCAGTTCCAGTAGGACCCTGCGACGCAGGAGACGACTGGTCCCGGGAGCGCATCGTGGCCACCCAAGGTCTTCTTCGCACCCTATGACGAGACGCAGCGTCCAAATCAAAGGTGCCTCTGAGGTGTCTGCGTTGACAGGCTCCGTCTCCGTCAGTAACCCCAGCTCTTTGCCGGGGGTCTCTGGAAGCCCTCTAGCCACGAGTGCCTTAACATCTACTTCCTTCAGCTCCTTCCCCACTGTCCCTCGGGCTCTGCACTCACAAGGAACACCTGAAACCAGAAGAGGGGCACCAGGAAACCCATCTCCTCTGTCAAACACATCATCGTCTGCTTCCTCCCCTCTCTTCCCTCTCTTTCCTTCGAGTGCTCAGGACACGGGGCGAGGAGGTGGGACCGCTGGAAAGGAAAAAAGCTTGTCAACTCCCCAAGAACCACCTCCGAAGGAAAAGGAGAGAGAGTCTGAGAAAAATCGCGAGAAGGAGAAGGAAAATAAGAGAGAGGGACGGAAAGATTTGGAGAAACGTAGTAAGGTGTCCACTCCGGATGGCTCCCCAAATGCACCTTCCAGCTTGTTTACCATCGATGGGAGGGACTCAGAAGGCGCTATTGCACCAAAAAAGACTCCTGGAAGAAAGAAATCCACATCGGTTGATACGGTTTCTGACACTGCTTCCTTAGAAGCCAGAGGGCTCCATCCCTTGTCCATCGCTAAAGGCCGCCACCTCAAGAAAGGAAGACCGTCTGAGAAAGGGACAGAGACGGAAGAAGGGGAGAAGGAAAAGGAGAAAGAGAAACGAAGTGCATCTAACCAGCCGACAGCTAGCCTTCCAGGGCAGCAAGGCAGACATCAGCTTCCTGTCTCCTTGGTGTCGCCAGAAGGAGGACAGCATTCACTGACTGACAAGCGGCTGGTTGGACTCCTCAAGAAGGCCAAAGACCAGCTCATTGCAATAAAGAAGAATAAGCTGAAGCCTGCCGAAGAGACCAAGGTCCAGGTCAGTTTTGGACTTTTTTTTGTTTTGTTTTGTTTTCACAGAACTCAAATCTCACTTTTCTGTTTCTCATATTCCTGTTCTTTACCCCACAAGTGACGATGAGTGATAGTGAGAATGATGCTTTGTCTATTTTCCATAAATAGAAACTCATATTGAAATTAGATGGGAGGAAAGTCCCACAGAGGGTATTACTTGAGGGGAATTCTTATCATGCTTATTATACAGAAAAGAGAACCCGATGTGAGTTTTTTGTTCCTTGACAGGCTGGCAGTGCCTCGTTCATGTCACTCTAACAATATCCTCATCATTGCTGCTTCAAGTGGCCCAGTCAGAATTGTGGGGCAAGTTTCTGATTTTAGGTTTCTGTGAGTTTCATTAGAAGCAGAGGCTACATCACTCCCGGTTTGTGAGGACTGGATCTTGGAAATTTAAAACAAACACAAAGTATTTTGAAGTTGACATTTGAACAGTTTTTTAGCATCTTATATTTGTGGTTAACACCGTTAGTGAGCTTAACTAAATCAACTCTACTGAAGGTTCTCGAGTGCTCCTTTTCTCTCACGGTAAAACCTTCTACACTAAAGAGTGGTGCCGTCAGTGTATGTGCACTGAAATCACTAATTAAACAATTACCAATATTGGTTATATGCGCTTCAGATTTGCAACCAATCAATGCAGATCAGCTTGAAAGTAGACCTATTCCAGTTAACACCAGAATTCTCAGATAACTTATTATTTTACCGAAAAGTCATAATCACTAAGTCATGTAAAGACTTGCATGAACTTCTGCAGTGAACTTTTGTCTACATACATCTGTGCCTTTGCTGTTTGGAAACCTTTTCCACCCGCTTCATGTTTTGTTTGTGTGCAGGGTCAGGAGAGCGACTCGTCAGAGGCCTCTGTCCGCGGTCCACGCATCAAGCACGTGTGTCGTCGTGCAGCCGTGGCTCTCGGCCGTAACCGGGCCGTGTTCCCTGATGATATGCCCACACTTAGTGCCTTGCCCTGGGAGGAGAGAGAGAAGATCCTATCTTCCATGGGGAATGATGGTGAGGCATCTTTAACTTGGCTCTCTGTTGACTTGCTCGCTTTTAAGCTTTCTATTCAAACATGTAATAGTGAAAAGCATCTTGTTTTA